GGGGGGGGGGGGGGGGGGGAGTGGATTGTGAGACCCGATATCGGTTGGGGAGAACGAAACATTCTTTATAAGGGCGTGGAAACCTCTCCATAGCAGACGCATTTTGAAAACTTTGAGGGGAAGCCCAGAAGGAAAAGCCTAAAGAGGACAATATTTGCTAGCGGTGGACTTGGGCTTGGCTTGGGCTGTTATCGGAAGAATTTGTCATTGAGTGGTAATTGAACTTGGTGATTCTGCTTTACTAACTGAAACAACTAACGTGGGAGCCATACCCCAGAAGTCTTAAATCTGTATTTTTTTAATGATTATTTTCCATCAGTTTTGGATTCCCGTCTGCCTTCTCTTGTCTCATTGGATCATTATGCCTAACACTATGCTTTCCTTTTATTTATATATATATATTCAAATGGTTAACTTTGTTATTTTATGCTGCACTATACCTTTCTTTTCAATTTGCTTAAACTCTTTTCTCAGATTGCAAACCGCTTGGATCGGATGGTTGCTAGTATCGAGAGAAAGCCTCTTAAGGTGTTCATTCAAGTGAATACAAGTGGAGAAGAATGTATGTTATTATTACTTGTAACGATTGCGAGTTTCTCCATCTTAAAGTGATCGCCACTACTTAACTGCAGTTTAATGATACAGTTTTAGAGATCTGATTTGCAAGATTTTGGTGCAAAATTTTTTCGCAAACGAAAGTGTCTTTGACCTACAGGATTAGGCAACAGTGTTTTAATTGTTGCCTGAAGCATGCTCTAATTTATCTTTTTAAGTACTTTATTCATTAAAACTAATTTGTTAACAATGCCAGCGCTTCTGGACACCTAGAGTCCAGCTGCCCTGTTCTCCTAGTCATGAAATTCTTTTTGCAGTATGATTATATTGCTTTTTGAACCCCCACTTCTCGGTATAAATTCCCTAGAATCCTACCTAAAGCGTTTAAGCCGTGCAATACAGACAATTATGTTCCTCAGTTTCTTTATGCTATCTGATTTCTACATACATTTAAACATAAAGATTCCTTTACAGCAGATCTTTAACCTTCTTTTTTCTAGAATTTTCAAGATCAGAATTCTGAATGGTGAAGCTTGTCCAGTTTTGTACTGTTAATCGTATGATTGAAGTTTTTTCATCAGATATTGAGACGTTTTTTTTGAAGTTAGGTTGATTAATAGTGCGTCTTTAAGGTGACTGGTGATGTTATCGATTAGTACGCTAATTATTTATTTATTTAAACTAATCATAGAATGTTGCAGTCCTTCGAATAATGTTTTTCCTGTATTGAAGTGCAGCAAAATCAGGTGTTGAGCCCTCTGGTTGTGTGGAGCTTGCTAAACACGTTAGCTTGAACTGCCCAAATCTTCAGTTTTCTGGGCTAATGACGATTGGAATGTTAGATTATACATCCACACCAGAAAATTTCAAGGTGATAAAACCCTTCACCCCAAAGTTCAACCTCACCTTGTCCACCATTCCTCTGTTACGAGAAACTTATCAAGTTTGTTGGCACCTTGTGTTCTTACCAATTGGTATATATTGGTTGCAGTTATTGGCTCACTGTAGAACTGAGGTTTGCAAAGCACTTGAAATATCAGAAGAACAATGTGAGCTATCAATGGGCATGTCAGCAGACTTCGAACAAGCTGTAAGAATGTTCATCATTATAATTCTCCTTAAGAGGATACCTATAAACTTGGCCTAAAGTAAACTTAAGAAAGTTGGTTGCTGCTCTTTAAATGAACAAAACGCTTCTCAACTTTTTAGACAGAACAAGAGAACTTGTATAGGCAGGACACTTTATAGAACGATCACATAATCTAACTCTTATCCTTCATGTTTTGCAGGTTGAAATGGGGAGTACAAATGTGAGGGTCGGATCTACAATATTTGGGGCTAGGGAATATCCCAAGAAAAACTGAATTATGCAAGCCTGAGATCTCTGAGCTTGCCTCGGTAATCATTTTGATGAAATAATCTGTCTTAACATATACCGATCTTTAAATAAAATATCACGGAAGAAAGCATCCAACTCCAGTTATTAGTAGCTTCCCGAACACTGTAAAGTGATGGCTGTATGTTCAGGTTGACACACTTTTGCGCCATCAGATGACAAATGAAGGTTTGCGTTTACTGAAATTTTGGATCAACTGTAAACTGTTTTTTTAATGAGTTTAAAATAATTTTACTGGTAGATTACCACGTATTGATCGCTGTCAACTTTTTTTTTTTTTTTTTAGTTTTCTGTCAGTATTTTATTATACATAAGCTTCATTCCTCTCATAATTTTTTTTAATTAAGTAAATCTTTTTTTCTTTAATAAAATATGACAAACGCTTTAAAAGGGGTATGTTCTTTTAATACTTATTTCTACTACAGAAAAATATGTATACATTTTGTCCGTTGATGGATCAAGCTGGGCTTACCCATCCAACGTCGAGATCGTCCATCCTATCCCCTTCACTAAAATAATATTAAATTTTCGCCGCCCAGCCAACCATGTTTGACAACATAGAACCCAGAAAATCCAAACTTTCTAAATTGATTTGTCTTCCACATTATTCTTTAGAAGGTAAAGCTTGGTGACCTACAAGAATTTGGACCACTGGATGACATGAAGCTCCTCATAAAGGCATGGTTTGAGGAAGTTGCTTAACAGCTGCAATATTAACAAGGGAAGAATATCAGTGGATAAGTCTAATTAATATGACATTCTTTTTCCTGGTACAAACAATAATGTCCGCATATAAGTCCTTGTAATAAATAAACAACACATTGAGTCTATATTACATCAGCATCAAATTCATAAGTATTGGTAACCATCTTTTTGACATGTACAAGGCAGTTCTGCAGAAGCCTCTTCTCAAAGGACTGACAATGCGGACGCACCATGAACAGAGTGGCTTCCTTGAACGATCAATTTTTTCATTTGAAGACACAGTTGATGAAAACATGAACCAACAATGTTAAGTTAGATGGACAAATATAGGTGCCGTGAAATATGATTGAACTATCAAACCTGGTTTTCTTTTTGCTAATTTCAGGAGAGCAAGAATATCTAACCCATGCACGCCTCCACTGACTTTACTAATTTCAGGAGACATCACAGTTAGAAACTTCCTAGAATATTTAATATCTCAACTGCTTGACTACAATGAATGATAGTTCAATTTAGTTGAACTTTTTGATCTCTAATAATGCTTAGGCATCAAAGTCACTCGCAACACCCTCACTTAATAATCGCATAGCAGCTCCCTGAGAAAATTTTCTGGCAAATAGAAAACAAGGAACAAAAGTTGAATTATTTCGACACCATTCCGTCCTGAATTCAGTCTCATAGTAGACATGGTTGATTCCCTGTCAAAATAATACACGTCAAACAACATAGTACACACTAGATAATGCATAAATTCAGAAAAGGAACCCAGAGCAACAAATATATGCCACAAATCTACCAATACACTAATTACTCAAATATGGTTGATAGTGACATAGAATAGATACCAATTCTCATTGAATCATTATAAGCCAAGCAGTCCAACAAACAATGTACAAATAAAAAAAAAAAAAAAAAAAAAAAAAA